TTGATTTGAGGTAGAAAGAACGCTATGGAAATTAAATATTGATAAAATATTTTGTATATATAAATAACGTATAGGAAACCTTGCAAACCGAAAAATATCAAAACTAAAGAAGATATTATTCCAGAAAATTTATAAAACCTCCCCTTATTCAGCTAACTACCGCTGGCTTTGGTAATTAGAATTAAAAATATTCCTAATTTTTTAATTTATAATTTATAATATTTTTTTTTGTCCAATAAATTACATAAAATAAGCATTATTATTCGTAATTTTATATAAATATAATTATAAAATATAAAATAAGAAAATAACCCAAACTACAAATTACCCTTTACCTCATAATTCTTCATTTCAATTATCCCAATAATTATAATAAATAAAAATATTATTTAATTATTAAAATTCGATTATTAAAATATTATATATTTTCTAAAAAATTATTTATCAAAAATTATTCCCCAAAATTATTTTCTAGAGCTAGTCCTCAAAATTACTATTCAAAATTAAAAAAAATAAAATTATTCCTGCTCATATTTTCCAAAATTATTTCATAAAATTCTTCCCCAAAGTCATTCCCCAAAATTATTATCGAAAAATATTCCGAATTAGTTATTTCCCAAAATTATTCCCCGAAATATGCTGCCAAAATAGTTACCCCAAAGCGGCTATGCTTCAAACCTATTCCCCAAAATAATTTCCCAAAGCCATTCTCCAAAGCGACTCCCGAAAGCTACTCCCCAAAGTTGCTATCGAAAGCTACTCCTCAAAATTACGTTCTAAAGCTAATCCTCAAAAGTGTTATTTAAAATTATTTAAGCAAAATTATTCCTATTCATGCTCCGCAAAGGTATTTCACAAGATTCTTTCCCAAAACCGCTCCCCAAAATTGTTCCCCAAAGTACCTCTGCAAAACCATTGCTCCAAAGCGGCTATGTTTCAAACCTCAAAGCAACTCCCCAAAGCTATTCTTCAAAGTGCCTTCCGAAAGCTGCCCCCCAAAGTTGTGTTCTAAAGCTATTCCCCAGAATTGTGGTTTCTCAAAGCTTCTGTTGCGCAAAGTTGTTCCTCCAAGCTATTCCTACTTCCCAAAATTGCTCCCCAAAGTTGCTCCCCAAAGCTGCTCCACAAAGCTGTTCCCCAAAGCAAAGCCGCGCCCCAAAGTTCCAAAGTTGTTATCGAAAGCTGCTCCAAACAGCTGCTCCCCAAAGCTGCTAAAGCTTCCCCCTAAAGTTGTTGCCGAAAGTTGCTTTCCAAAGTTGCTTTCTAAAGCTACTCCCCAAAGCTGTCGTTTTTCAAAAATTGTTCGTCAATGCTACTGCAAAGCCAAAACAGCGCGCACAGGCTACGGCTAAGGAAGCAAGCACAGTGTGCGCGATAGAAGGCGGGTGCAGTAATCGGGGAGTCTCGCAGAGGTGCCTGTTAGAAAGAGTACAGAGACAATAGAGCCAATACCGCACAAGCGCGGCAAGCAAAGCCAATAGCAATAGCTCGCAGCGGCTTGGACCTAGGGCGAATCGAATCAGGGGAGAATTGAGGAACCGTCATGGGATTGCGACATGGGACCAAGACTGGGACAGCAAAATGACAGGCCCAAAAACAAGGTGGGCCAAAGAACCCCAAACCAAGACGGCGTACAGCACGCCTTTTTTTTAAAATCTTTACTGAGATGACATCAGGGGCCACAGTTCACCACAGCATGTTGTGCCAGCTACATCTACATTCTTCTAGTCACTATTTCTGCTGATATAATTAAATCTATTCTATTTTGTAATTAATCGCTATTTATTCCTGGGTTCTCGTTTAGCTTGCTTCGCTGCAGAGGGAGCGAGGACGAAGCGTGGACGGACAGAACACCGTGCGAAATGAAAACTCAATGACGGAGGGAATTGACCAAAAGAGCATGAAAGCAAAACTATGAAGATAACAGATGATGAATGATTATGAAAAAATGAGACATGATGAAAAATGGGTAAAGATTTCTCTGCGCAAAAGTTTCTATGCGTAAAAGCTATTGTGTGTAAACGCGTCTATGCGGACAAGTTTTCTTTGTATAAAAATTCCTCTGCGTAAAGGTTTTTTGCCAGAAAACGTCTGTGTAAAAGTTTCTATGTGTAAAAATTTCTGCGCGTAAAAGTTTCTTTGCGTAAAAGTTTCTGTGTGTGAAAATTTCTGCGCGTAAAAGTTTCTTTGTGTAAAAGCTTCTATATGTAAAAGCTTCTGTGGGTAAAAATTTCTCTGTATCATTTTTTTTTGTGTAAAAGCTTCTGTGTGTAAAACGTCCTTTGTGTGTAAAAGTTTCTGTTTTTCAAAATTTCTTTGCGTACCAGCTTCTGTCTGTAAAAGTTCCTCTGTGTTCAGGTTTTGTTTGTGTAAAAGCTTCTATGTGTAAAAGTTTCTCTGTGAAAAAGTTTCTCTGTGAAAAAGCCTCTGAGTGTACAAGCTTCTCTGTGTAAAAGTTCCTCTATGTAAAAGCTCCTCTGTGAAAAAGTTACTCTGTGTACAAAGCTTCTCTATGCAAAAGCATCTGTGTGTACAAGCTTCTTTGTGTCAAGATTTCTTTCTATAAAATATTATTCTGTGTAAAAGCATCTGCGTATACCAGTTTTCCTGTGTAAACGCCTCCGTGTGTAAAGATTCCTCTGTTAAAAACCGTCTATATGTAAAAGCACCTTTGTGTAAAGGCTTTTTTTGTGCAAAAGCTTCTGTGTAAAAGCTTCTGTGGGTAAAAGTTTCTATGTGTAAAAGGTTTTGTGTATAAAAGTTTCTGTGTGTAAAAGCTTCTGTGTTCTGTGTATTTAAAAATCGTTATGTAAAAATTTCTATGTATAAAAGCCCCCCTGTATGTATAAGCTTCGCTGCGTAAAAGCTACTCTATATAAAAATTCAGTGCGCCGTAAAGTTGTCTGTTTGTAAAACCTTCTGTCTGTGAAAAGCTACTTTGTGCACATAGTTCTGTGCGTAAAAGGCTTCTGTGTGTAAAAAATCCTGTGTAAAGGCTTCTCTGTGTAAACGCGTCTGTGCGTAAAAGCTCCTCTGTGTAAGACTCGGTGTTCTGTATGTAAAATTTTCTGTGTGTAAAAGCTTTCCTATGTAAAAGTTTCCTTGTGTAAAAGCTCCTGTGTGTAAAAAGTTCTTTGTGTAGAGGTTTTTTTGTGTAAAAGCTTCTGTGTGTGCAAGTTGCTCTGTGGAAAAGTTTCTGCGCGCCGAAAGAGCCTCTATTTGTAAAACCTCCTGTGTATAAACGTGTCTGTGTGTAAAAACTTCTGTGTTTAAATCTCCTTTGCCTTTGTATAAGGACTTCTCTATGTAAAAGTTCCTCTGTGTCAAGACTTCTCTTAGGCTTCTCTCTGTAAAAGCCTTTGTGTGTATATACAGGCTTCTTTGTGTCCTAAAAAACCCGTGCCAACAGCTTTGCTCTTATAGTCTTGCTCCCCGTCAATAAAGCTATCGCCCAGTGTCTGTACACCGCCGTAATGTAATTTGTCTTGAAAACCCGTGCCAGCAGCTATATATTATTTCTCACGGTTTCCCCTCTGTCCACCCTGTCGTCGCTTCCATCTCGCTAGTTTTCGACGCAATCGGATGGATGAAATTTGTCCTCAAAAACTCGTGCCAACAACTGCATGCGCATTTTTCGCACCGCTCCCTGCCAACGAAGCTGCGCATGTCCCATCGCCCAGTCTTTGCACCGCACTTGAGAAGTCTTGGGCGCACAATTTTTCCGCACAATCGCATTAATATAATTGTCCCGAAACACCCGTGCCAACAGCTATATATTCCCACTATATCGTTTCCTCCCAATGGAGCTCTCCCCAAGTCATTTCCCACGGTTTCCCCTCCGTCCACCCTATCGTCGATTCCGTCTTGCTCCTTCCCAGCGGAGCTCTCCCCAAGCTATTTCCCACGGTTTCCCCTCCGTCCACCTTATCATCGCTTCCGTATCGCTCCTTCCCCATGGAGCTATTTCCCACGGTTTCCCGTCCGTCCACCTTGTCGTCGCTTCCGTATCGCTCCTTCCCAACGGAGCTCTCCCCAATCTATTATTTCTCACGCTTCCCCTTCGTCCACCCTTTCGTCGCTTCCGTATCGCTCCTTCCCAACGGAGCTCTCCCCATGCTATTTCCCACGGTTTCCCGTCCGTCCACCTTGTCGTCGCTTCCGTATCGCTCCTTCCCCACGGAGCTCTCCCCAAGCTGTTTCCCACGGTTTCCCTTCCGTCCACCCTCTCGTCGCTTCCGTATCGCTCCTTCCCAACGGAGCTCTCCCCATGCTATTTATTTCCCACGGCTTCTCGTCCGTCCACCTTGTCGTCGCCTCATCTCGCTGCTTCCCCATGGAGCTCTCCCCTATATATATATATAAATATTTATTTATCTAATTTGTTTTTATTTATCACGACAATTATATATCTTATTTACATATTGTTTATGAATATTTATATTTGTTTTTATATACATTATATCATTAAAATAAAATTTCGTTTTTTACTCAAAATAAAATAAAATAAAATATTACGAAATAATATATCTTTTTTATTTTTTGGAAAAATAGTTTATCTACTATTATATGTCATTATATACTACTATAAAGTAACTATAAAATAAATATATGAAATTATCCCACCCATTATATGTAAATTTACTTTTTAAAATGATATATTTACATAAAATAGATATTACTATATATAATAATATATATATATATATATTGTTTTAAAGCATACATAGAATAATTTAAACATACGTAATCATATGGTAGCAAGAATATAAATATAATATTTATACAACTTTGAATATTGGGAATTGGGGGTCGGTAGCCGTAAATGTTGATTGCTGTGTTTGCGCCGATATAGGTGGGTCTGCGCCGATAACTCAATCAAACAACGGCACAATTTCGTTGAAAGAGTTTTCATCCCCTGCTGCTTCCTGTACGTATTGCCGAATTGGCAGTTCAAAGTCGCTCTGAAATTTCTCAACCCTTTGTTTTCCCTGCAAAATCCTTTTTGTATCTGATGCACACAGCATAGACTTGTCATCTAACGAGATTTCCTTCGTCCACCGGGTCTAGCAGGATGTGCAGGAGGAAGGGCCTCCCAAAGCCGCCAAGAGAGCCATAAAGCATAAAGAGAGCTTGAAAGAAAGCCATAAATTTGTATATTCCATGCACATACAGACACACACACACATTTGTAAGACAGAATGTCTGCTCACGAGGCCCATATCTGTTAGTGAATTTGCTCAACTCAACTCAACTCACCTCACTCACTCAACTTACTCACCCACTCAATTTACTCACTCATTCACGTGCAAAAACACTTCCATTACACCTGACAGGAATGGGTCAGTGAAGAGACCCGAAAAGGTATCAAGAAGCTACCATCGCCATAGCCAGCGCAGTTGAAGTCAAATTGTTTTGAAAAGATTGTGGAAATAAATCCCAGATTGCGGCAAACGTGCATGACTGCATGACATCTAAAAGCGACAAGGTGGTTCTTGGGGCTGCCCGTCACAGGAACTTGACATGAAAACTGAAGCAAGTACGTCGATCCAGCGTCCCGACCGATATCACAGATCTGCAGAACTATGACATTCCCTGCAGCCCCCTGCGATTTTGAAATTTATATAATGATGACAAAGACAGAAGATTGGAAATGAAAACCCAACCTCCACCAGGTTAGAAGTTTTACATCTCTTCAGATGGTTCACACACACGCCGCTGCCGCCGGGCTTTTTTGGAAGATGCAAATGCTCATCACGGATCCGAAGTAAGATCAAAATGCCAGGCACTCACATATAGTACTTTACGGCTCTGTAGAACTCCCAGATGAAGGTCTAGTCGCTGAGGTCATCACGGGGCGACGGATCCGTAGTTGGGCCTCGCCTGCTGGGGATGATTGCCAGGTGTCCAGGCAGGAAGGCGAGGAGAATGGAGTCATTGGCCTCTGGGTCTTGGCTAAGGACACTATGCAGGAGCCAAGCGAGCTGAAGGATCGGAGCAGAGGGTCGAGGACGGTGTTCGGAAGCCGAGGTTCCATCCGTTGTTTCCGGAAAATCCTCGAGGTGGTGGTCATGGTAAGGATCCTGTTCTTCAGGAAGTTGGAAGTGACGGCGCCAATAGTTGGCCAATTGGGCCGATTGGTGCCAGCCATCCACACTACGCCCATTTCGATCACGCACATGACCAACGATTCCATAGAAGAATTGCTCCAACACCCGGACACGAGAGTGTCCGGAGGCATCAACCTCTTCCACCATCAGCTCAGAGCTTTGGGTGCCGTATTCGTAGATCTTGAAGGTGTGGGTGTGAACAAGTCGCTAAGGCCATTGGGTGGGTTGGAGAGGGGAGTGGACTTGGAATTGTGGAGTTGATGAGGAGGAAGCCAAGGGCATGGGAATGGACACAGAATCTCCGGTGTATCTGGGTGCATTTTCAGGGTGCATGAAGCCCGTCATCAACGCCATGGGCAAGCCTGTGTCGCGCTCCGATGCCATACGAAGATCCCGAGGATAAGGCAGGTTGGCCATGATGGAGTCACGTTTAGTCATATTGAAAGCTGAAATGGCAAAGGGGCAAGGAAAGTGAAAGCAGAAAACTGTTGAAAGCACCAAAGAAAACGAAGGAAAAACAGCCGACCGGGACAAATTGGTTTTCCCGGGGAGTCAGCTTATGGCAGGTAGCCAGCAGGAAGAGGAAGTGCCCTGTGACACGTGAGACGCGTGATTGGCTAAAATCGGTAAAAGGCCTAGGAGGTAGCAAAGGTCCTCCATCTTGATGTCGACACCAATGAGGGCGATGAATGCTGAGAAGATAACAAAGGTTGCTGGTATTGTTCAGAACGAAGGTATCGCCCGAAGTATCATTCCAACAAAGATCCAACTCATCCGGGTCAATCTGACCATCCCAAGACACTGAGATGTGGTCACTAAGCTCAGCAAGAAGCTCTGATACCGTCACACCAAGAAGTCTTTGGTCGGGGACCAGTTTGGAAAAAGTAAACAGAGCACTTTGTTCAGTGGCGGTCAAAGCAGGAAGAACATGTTGACGGGTAACGAACATAGCATTTGAGCCACAAAGTTCTTCTGCAACATGACGAATCGAGTCGAAGGAAATGAGGACAAGAACTGGCCCCAAGCGTCGACTGGTATAGGTGTCGTATCACACACCACACACACCACATACACCACACATACACCACACATACACCACACACACACACACACACTCACACACACACATTGGTAAACTCCATAATGGAGAGGGTGAAATGAGATGAAATGATAACCATCATGTCATGTTGTTACATTAGCATGTCATGTCATGTCATGGCATGTCGGCATGGGTGGTTTTTGGCTTGGCCACCTTGCCATTTCGGACAGAAGGAATTTGCAGGTACGTTTTCACGACGACATAGATGGTCTTCGTTGGCCCGTGCCATCTATGCGTCCACGGGCCCCCTGCTTTTCCCTTTGATTCAGGGTTTCTCACACACGGCAAGCCACTAGGGCACGATGTTTTATAGGATAAAGATTGTTCAGAAATTAAAAGTGGTGTAGTAAAACCAGGTGTAGGAATCTCAGTAATATTGCTGGTCAAGTTTTTTATGGTTTTAAACGACGGTATAAACTCTGCAAGACATCGGTAGCAAGAGCAATGAAACTCGAATCGCATTCGATCACGGATACGTAGGCCAGGCTGCTTGCACACAAATGATCGAGAGAGAGAGAGAGAGAGAACAAAAAAGAGAGAGACAGAGAAAGATAGATAGAAGAAGGCCAAGGACTCGGGAAGTTGGAGGTAGTAAGATAACGCATGTCATCCATTCCGCTGCTTGCACCCTTGGATCCAGGGTTGCCACTCACACGTAAGCCGCTGGGCACGATTTTTTGTCAAGAACGACTTCCCTCGGTGTGGTTGTTGGTGGTGGTAGTAGTGAAGTATGGTGATGTGGTGATGCGCGTTGCCGAGAAGATGCTGCTGGTCTGTGTCCAGTATGTGATCGATGGTTGGATTTGGATCTGCCGATGTTCGAATGATGTCGCCTACCATGTGAACGGTGCTGGTGTCGACGTCGTGACCGGTGTTGTGATTTGTGATGTCTGGAACGTGGTGTGGTGGATCTGTGGCGTGATCTGTGACGTGAGTAATGTCGGTTTATAGATCTGTGTCGTCTGCGTCGCCTGGTGGTGGATCTGTGCATCCTGCGTGTGGTGCGAGATCGTGTACGGCTGTGCTTGTTGTGACTCATTGGTGGGGTTGGAGCTGTAGTGGTTGGAAATTGCTGTGAAACTGGCGTGGCTGGTAGTGGTTGTACTAGTGTTGTGCTTGTTGACTGTGGTGTAGGCTGGTAAGTGACGAATGATCCATATTGTGGTGGTGAGAGCTGAAGATTGGGTATGGCTGCGTTGTAATGTGGTGGTGGCTGAAGACATGGCATGGCTGTGCTGTGATGTTGTGTGTTGAAAGCGTGAAAGGATGGAGGTTGTGTAAACGCAGAGTTGGCAAATGGTGCTTGTGTTGGCTGTGGGACGGTGTGTCCCAGAAGTTGTTGTGGTTGTTGTTGCGGAGTTGGAGCACAAGGCTGTGTGAAAACTGCTGTGGTACACTGTGGTTGCATTGATTGTGGTAAAGTGTGTCCGGCTGGATAATGTTGTTGTGGAGTATGAGAGAATGTTGGTACAAAAGGTGCTGATGCTTGTGGGTTTTGTGGTGGTGAACTCATCCACTGGGCAAGCAATTCGGCTGCTGGCATTGCGGGCTGCATGGTCAGAGTCACGAAGCTGCAAGCGCTGCACATGTCAATCTTCAATGTGGCCATGATGTCAAATCGAAATTATTTATATAACTGTAACTCATGATATTAGCCTCAGTAATGTTGCTGGTCAAGTTTTTATGGTTTTTAACGACAGTATAAACTCTGCAAGACATCGGTAGCAAGTGCAACGAAACTCGAATCGCATTCGATCACGGATACGTAGGCCAGGCTGCTCGCACACAAATGATCAAGAGAGAGAGAGAGAGAGAACAAAAAAGAGAGAGACATAGAAAGATAGATAGAAGAAGGAGAGAAAGAAAGAAAGAATGAGAGAGAGATGGAGAGAGAAATAGTGATAGAGAGATGTTTTGGAGAAGGAGAAAGATAGAGAGAGAGAGAGAGACAAGGTTAAGGAGGTATGATGTTGGAGGTATCATGGGTGAGCAGTGTTGGAGAAAGAGAGAAAGAGAAAGGAGATATAAGGCCAAGGACTCGGGAAGTTGGAGGTAGTAAGATAACGCATGTCATCCATGCTGCCGCGCCACGAGGTCATGGTTGCACTCAAGCAACGAAGGAAAACGTGAAGGTGTCCTGATGATTGCAATAATATCTACTATTGAGCACGGAGATTGCTATCAGAGACAAAATCCGAAACAAAAATTGGAACAATGGATGAAGTTAAGCAAATAGGATTTGATAACATCAACAATGTTAACACATGTGCAGTTTAGAGTTACAATGGGTGACGACATGTTGGCAAGACTCTTCAAAACAATTCCAAACGGCTTGGTGGAAGTACACTGTACATCGGCTCTTTTTGCTGGTTCCGCTGACATGTTTCATGCCACGTGTCACTGGGAAGATTTCAAATGGGATATTACTTAAATCACAAGGACACATTTTATTTATAGGAAGGTGGAGATTCTTGAAATAAATGATAAATTTGATTTTAAAAAAATGGCATATCATATTATAGTATAAACGGAGGTGAAACTATCGCATCAGCAGCCTCTCATTTGCACGTCTGTCGGCAGCAGCTGCGGCTCGCCAAACTCATTTTCATGCGCAAGCAGGCGCTGTGCTGGTGTGGAGAAGTTTGGATCAGGCTCAAGGATCCAAATGCTGGAGATGTGTGCCAGTGTTGAGTGAATGCACCAGCGGCGATCTCGTGGTCTGTGGACTATGCCGTCATTTTCCACTTCTTCTTGTTCGGCCCATGTTCCTCCTGTGGGCACTGGTTTGTGTGTGCCACATACTGTTGTATTTGTTGTTCGATGGCTTCTTGAAGGTGATCAATTGCTTGTGTTGGCTGTGGTTCGTTTGTAGTGTTGGTGGTG